AAAGAGGCTGAAAATCTGGGTGCGTCTTATATACTGAATACAACATTTTTTGCCTCCTGAAACCCCGTCCCCTTCACCAAAATAGCCCTGCATAGCTTTTAGGAGGCTTTCAGAGAGCTCCTGGGGGCTGGGGTGAGCAGAAATCCCCCCCCCCCGCCGCAGCACTCTAAGTTTCCTAAAGGCTATCCATTGCTTCCCTTCTTGATTAGTTTCCACCCATTGCTTCATCCATCCATTTTTTGCTTGTTAGTCGTCGTCTCCCCCCCCCCCCATGAGCATTCTACAAGCCTCCTAAGGGCTATTCATGCCCTTTTTTTGAAAACAAAAAAGGGAAGTTTGCAGAGCAAAAACTTTTTTTTTTAATTTGCCTTTTCAAAACCTTGGTTTTATACTCCAGTACGTCTTATATTATGGAAAATACTGTAGTTTCCTAGTACACTTCAATTTGAATAGTATATATAACGTAGTTGTCAATCTAGTCATGTGGAAGTATCTGCTGTCTAAGCCATAGAAGTGTGTCTATGAAGGTCCTGAATGTTAGTATTAGATGGTTACCTTGTCCCAAGAAATTCCAAATGTAGCCATATCTCAGAATTTTTATCTTGCAGCCTTTTAGCGGAAGACCATTATACTCAAACAGCACATCTTACAACCATTGTTTTTTCTTCCTGGCATTTTCCCACAACTGCAGGATCTGGTTTTTTTAGATCAACTAGATGCAATTTGTTGCTAAACACCAGTATGAGACTGTATTATTGGATAATTTCTTAGGTTAGAATATGACAACTACTCGTAAACAAGGACAGAAATATCCAAGCATGTGTAGGCCAGTCATCTTTTTATAAATTAACTCTAGATTTCTAATATGCATGTTCACTTCTGTGTAAAATTTCATTTAGTGATAATTATAATACTATTCTGATCTATTATAAGGATTTTGAGGACATACTCTAATATTAATAAATTAATATTAATATGAAATTAATAAACAATGTTTATGAAGAAACGTTTCATTTCAGCAGGATTGTCTTGTAAAACATATTGTCCTTTTTTGGGAAACTGTTGCTTTGATGGAATAGAAGGGTTCAGTAGCTCCAGTGATTTTAAGAAAAAGATCTGAAAGTGTCAAACTTCAATAATAGATCTGGAGATAATTATGTGAAGATATATAACAAGATCAAAACTGAAAAAACCCATTAGTGATGGTGTGGATGTTCAGTGAACATCAGCGTTAAGTGATTCTGATGAAAGACAGAAAAATAAAAAGGAAGGAATACTGACAGAAGAAAATGTACAGATGCTCATCCATTGCACTGATGTAAGCAAACTTTGTCAAGATATTACTAAGAAAAATAATCCTGCATAGAATATAGCTAGCTTAAAATAATGTAGAAAGCAACAGGAGTACATGAAATAGGTTTGCCTTTGTTTCACTGGATATAGCAAGACCTTTGATTTTGTGAATCATGATTGAATATGGAATATATTAAAACCAACAGAACATGTGATCATTCTTGGGACACTTTACAGTGAACAAATGAGCTACTATAAATTACTGAATTTGGAATTATAGTGGTTGAGAATAAGAGGATATGCGATAAGGATGATTCTTGTTTCCATTTTCTTTATCTTGTCACTAAATATAGAGATGACACGACTGGAAGGCATGATAGCTATAAGTCAAAACACTAACAATTGGAAATGTGTAGATTACAATACAGAACTGAAGCACACTTAGAAGACTCAGGAAAGCAATAGCAATAGCACTTAGACTTATATACCGCTTCATAGGGCTTTCAGCCCTCTCTAAGCGGTTTACAGAGTCAGCATAATTGCCCCCACAGTCTGGGTCCTCATTTCACNTTTAACATTTTCTAATGGTGGTGTGCCTCGTGATTTTTTTCATGAAAAAAGTGTGCCTTTGCACAAAAAAGGTTGAAAAACACTGATCTAGATTGCGCGAAATGCATCTTTATGAATTCTTCATATGAACCATTTTTTAAAAAAAATCTGTGAAATGTTTTAAGGGTTAAACCACTAAGATCGAGGTCAGTTCTTAATGCTAACTCAACTTCTAAAATTTAAAGCTGTAACAAAGAAGTGGTTATTTGTATTACGTAATATTTTCCCCTTTCAGATTAACATCCTAGTCGTGCTGACTGGGAGTTGTAGTTTAATACATCTGATTGGGCACCTGTTTGGTAAAGGCTGATGGAAGAAAAATGGATGAAAACTGCGATCAAAAGAACTCGCCTCCTCTATTTCAGCGAGTAAATCACCCGCGAAGGTGTGGAGGAGCCTATCTCGACCCGGCCTTGGACTACATTTCCCAGAAATCTTTTCAGTGAGACTTACCCCCGCCGCGTCTGTTGTCGCTCAAGGAGGGCGGCCTCCGGGCTCGGAAGCGGCTCGCAGCGCTTGAAAATTGGAGGCTTCCCGCTTGCAGGGTGGCGAAGGGCCGCGTCCCTGGGGCCATGAGCCGCCTGGGCTCGGTGCAGCAGAAGGTGCCCTGCCTCTTCGTGACTCAAGTGAAGGAGGAGCCCTCGGCCAAGCGGGAGCGCCAGGTACTTGGGTCGGAGTGACCCGCCGGGGTGAAGGGGAACCGCGGGCCTGTCAGGAAAAAAAACCTCAAGCGGATATTGACTTTTCCGGACCAGTCGCGGGTCTAAGTAGAACCAGACACGAGGCTGGCTCCGCGAAAAACAACCTGCAGCGTCTGCAGGGAGAATTTATTCGCGCCGGTTTCTCTCGCCCAGTTTTGCAGCACGCCCACGTGAAACTGCCGTGGATGTGCGGCAAGAAAGGACTTTGGATTGAGAGGTAGAGTCGCTTCACCTCTTCCAAAATCTCTGCCACGTTTGCTTCGCGGAGGTATCAGAAGCTGCTTTATACGCAAGACGGCGTCCTTGGGAAATACCTAGGTACTGATAGGCCTTTTTTTTAAAGGTGCAAATACTTTACAAATAGCGAAATGCCTTCAAAAGGAAGCTGGCAAATTGGAACTCGCCTCCTCAGATTTTTACTTCCTTGTGGGATTAGGTTTTTCAGGGAGAATAATGTAGCTGGCAAAATATTGCTCCACCAAACATTTCTGCTGGTACAAAACTTTGCAGCTACCATCAGTTAATTGAATACATTTACTTCATGAAAGCTATTTGGACAAGTAGATTTTTCAGAAGATTTAAACAACTTTATCCCATTAGATTATTACAAACATTCCACCTCCATCAGTTTTTAATTTTCTGCTGGTTATGTTTCTAATTTCAAATGGAGACTCAGTTACTTTATTATTTACTGCGGTCATCCTTTAAAAAAAACTTTGATATAATTTTTTAAAGTATTAAAAGAAGACTACATTTGCCAAAAAGTTGACAATGATCATTTTCTTTTCAGACTTTTAAAGTGTTGGCCACCAACTCAATTAATAAAAAGGCTTTAGCTGCAGATATATACAGTGCAATCCCAACAGAAAAGGTGGATGGAACTTGCTGTTATATAACTGCATACAAAGGTAATATAGAAAAATCAAATTAAAAATGTTATTGTACTAGGTATTATGTATGCATGTGCGTACAGGTAGCCCACACAATTTTGTTAATGATTAATTCAGAATGTTAGGATGTTCCTCTTCCATGTACAGAAAAATGCCAAACAAATGCCCGGGTTACTGTATTTTTGGGGAGTATAAGATGTATTTTTTCCCCTCAAAAAAGAGGCTGAAAATCTGGGTGCATCTTATATACTGAATACAACATTTTTTGCCTCCTGAAACCCCGTCCCCTTCACCAAAATAGCCCTGCATAGCTTTTAGGA